GCTCCTTCATCATCATACGTGTGAGCTTTGCAACATCTCCAAGCCATTTTCACTTTCATGGCATATGTTGCTCACACACATGTACCTGTGGACTAATCACCTGTGTATCTCACATAAACACAATTAGTCCACCTAGGTTGTCACTGAATTACCAAAACCACACAAGGACCTTTCAACAGCTTCGCGGCATAAAGGGGACCGGGCATCCCTTCGAGGGAGTCTTTATCCCTCACCTATAGCACCCGATCGAGACGACTCCAAGCTTTATCCTTTGGCAACTCCTTCGGTGACGCGCGGTCGGGATCCATCGGGCCAGAGTATTCCCACATCGGCCATGTTCTTTCCACCAACGGGGCGACCCAACGATGGAAGAAGGTATGGAAGACCCGCAACCAGTCGAGGCCATGCTACAAAAGCCTCTGAAGCTCTGTCTCGATAACCTCCAACTTGTTCTGCCGACCGGTGGGACCCCACGACCAGCTTTCCCTCCTCTCTGGCCTTTTCTAGTAAACGTCGGGAATGGCGCTTCCACTGGGTTCCTGATGTAGAACCACTCACCGTGCCACCCCCGGTTGGAGTCATAGGGGGAGTATGCAAGGTAGAGGACTGACGGCTTTGGCTTCTTCTGCAAGGCGAATCCCCCAACCGACGCGATTCTAAGCGGCTTCCCCTTGGACAGGGCTCACCCGCTGAAGATCTACCGGAAGAGGTTCACGCGTGGCTCCATCCCAAGGAAGGCCTCACAGATGGTGACAAAGCCGGCGATGTGTTGCAGCTCTAGGCCCCACTCATTGAGGAGCCCACGTAAGAATCAGTGCGGGGGATACCCGAGCCCGCGCTTGTGGAAGGCGAGGAAGCAGACGACCTCATTGGCCTAGGGTTGTGGAACAACTTCCCCCAGCGCAGGAGCCCTCCAATGCGCCACCTCCTTCGACGGGAGTAGCCCCTTCTCAGCGAAGGCGACTAGCACCTCCTCATCCACGTTGGAAGCCCTCCAGTTTGACATCGTGCCTCGGATTTACAAACGAATCTGTGAATTCTCTTCTCCCTCGCTCTACCCTCCTCTCTCCTAGAAACCGCCGTGGCACACGAACAGACTTGGAGAAAGGGAGGAAGGAGGAACAACAGCGGTTGAAGGAAGGCGAAAGAATGGGAGGAAAATCCTCTCACTTCCCCCTATTTAATGTGGAAAATCGTGCGGCGAGACGTGGCCCTAGCTGATGGGACACGCCCTGCCCGACGAAACATCGCTCGGTTGGCAGGACGTGGCCTGGGCAGGGCCCACCACTACCACAACCCGGGCGCGGGAAATACGGCGCAACTACACGCAAACGATCCTCAACCTTCCCAGGCAGGATTTGGAAGGGCCCACCAACGGAATGTCCATCAAGGAGAGGCCAATGGGTCACCTGAGTCGATTAGACGGCTGCCAAGAGACAAGTAAGGAGCAGTAGGATGCCTCATGCAGGTTGTGCCAACCCCATCATGAACGACGGAGACAATGACATATCCGATAGGAGCTCTCCAGACCCGTCACTCGAGCCATCAAGATAACCTTACCAAACCCCCTTTTTGTTTTCTAGTACATAATCATTCATTCATCCATTCTCATGCATACATTCATACATACATCCATACATTCATCCCATACATCCAAGCATTGCATATGCAGTTATTGCATCACAACGCTTCGTGTTGCGTCACAAAGCGGTAGTCGCCTCATTCGATATGAGCGACGACCAACCGAGGTTCGAAGGCCGACCCACAAAGGGCTCGAGGCCGCCTCATGTCAAACAGAGCCAGGGGAGAAAACGTAGATGAGCCCTAGCGGCCCTCACCCGATCCTGATCTCGAACTATGCCCACAGAATCTCCATCGAGGGGAGGCCAGCGGGCCACTTGAGTCGGTCTCCGAAACAGCTCGGGCATCTACCGGGAGGCAGGTTAAGGAGCAGTGGAATACTACATGAGGGTTGTGCCGACCCCGTTACGAATGATGGACCTAGATTCCACTCAGACGTACCCATTATTAACCTCACCTAGCGCGTCACTTGAGCCATCGAGGCAAACAGCGTTAGCTCAACCCCTCCTGTTGCGGAAACCACAGACGGGGTAACGCACGAAACTAGACCGACCCCTTGGCCGCACCCGACACTTGGGTTGGCGCTCCGTCTCGCCCGACCCCTCGGCCGCGCCCGACACTTGGGTTGCCGCTCCGTCTCGCCCGAACCCTTGGCCGCGCCCGACACTTGGGTTGGCGCTCCATCTCGCCCGACCCCTCGGCCGCGCGCCGACACTTAGGTTGGTGCTCCGTCTCGCCCGATCCCTCGGTTGCACCCGACACTTGGGTTGGCGCTCCGTCTCGTCCGACAGCGACCTACGAACTTACACCCACCGGGTGCGCTCGTGAAACGAGTGTAAACAACCCCTTCACGACTTCACAGAAGTCCCAAAAGGGCTCGGGGGCTCCTGTCGGGTTCATGAACCCGGGGTCCCCAAAGGACCCGCTTCTCAGCAAAAACTCGGCCTAGTAGACGGCGTAGCGACAACGCGCGCCTCCCGAGCCGACCCAGATACCTAATGACAGGCCGGGAGAACGATCCGGTCCCCGACCGAAAGGCCTGGCCAAGGTGGGGACATAGTCCGACTCCGACCTCCATTTCTGATCGGGGATACACCGGACCTCTGTTTGCAGCCCTTCCCTGACCGACACGGGCGGGGCCGACTGGGAATGACCGGCTGGGGACGCCCACTCGGTGAGGGCACGGGGATCAGGCGGAGCAGATAAGATAAGGCGCTCAAGTCAAACCGCAATACCGAGGACCGTACCTTACCATACCCTGCTCACCTGCAGGACGGTGCCACCAGGCCATGCCAGATAGGCACTATACAACCTTCTAGGCGTGTCAGAACCCAAACAGTATTATAGGCGCCGACATTTGCCATATCAGGTGAATACGATAGAGCCTGCCATATGCATCTGGACATAAAACAGTATTCTGGGTGCCGACGACTCTCGTATCCGACAGCGTGGGCAACAAGACTAGGTAGCACACGTATATATTCTCTCTTTCTTTGACTTGTAAGAGCCCATCCCCTTCGACTATAAAAGGGGATGAGTTCTCTCAAAAAGAGATCTGACTATTCTGGCTCTCTGGTTCTCTAAAAAAGAGAAGCTAGACGATTTGAGTACTCGAGAACCCGAGAACTCGAATAGCTCAATAACCCTAAAACTCTAAAGCTTCACACAACATACGCTTCAAAACTTAGCGCACGTTAGAACCCCCGTCACTCTCGGCCCTTCGGTTCAGAGTCCGACCGGATCTTGAACACCCCCTTCTTATTCCTACTCGTTTATAACCCCACAGGAAACTTCGAGCATCTGAGCTCAGGAATAAACTCTCCGACCGACTGAAACTGGACGTAGGGCACGTTGCCTGAACCAGTATAAACCCTGTGTCATTGAGTGCTACACCACATCCAATCACAACGCACGACAAAACTATAAACATTTATTTATTAGTCACTTTTCGCACCGATAGCAATTAAATGTTAGGTTCTTAATCTTCGTAAATATCCTTGCGTTCATGGTGGCAACCACCTCAAGGGTCAACAATTTCGGCTAGCGCCTAACGTCAACTATTAATATTAGATATTTTCGTACTAAAATATTAATTTAATTGTTTCCATACTAAAAGTTAGCGAGTGCACTCTAAAACGTGGACCCATCTCAGAATTAGGACCAAAATGGCAAGCGGAAAACTGTTGGACACTATTTCAAGCTTGAAATAAAATCAGTAAATCTTTATCTCACTCGGGTGATCCTGAGGCTCCTGTCACTCGATTTTATTTGTTCGTCGATTCGGCGCTGTCAACGGAGGCGATTTACCAAGCGGGCGCGGTACCTAAGGTGGCAGGTCGTGTTGGGTGTGGCGTGCACCGCTGCTGAGTGCTGAGTGCGTGGTGGAGTGCATGCTGCTCGGTGCAGTGCCTGCTGCAGTGATAGCGGTGTAGTGCATGCTGCTCTGTGCTCTGTAGGTGCACTGTGCATGCGCGGTGGAGTAGTACAGTCTATTCGCTTGTTGGTGTTAGCCAGCCCAAATTAGCTAGCTAACAGTGTTTTCCTCTCAAAAAAATCAGCATCAGTCAGTTCAAACCAGCACCAGCATCAACCAACGAATAGGCCGATAGTCGCAGGTGGGTGCAGGTGCAGCAGGGACCTCGGTCACGTCACCTCGTCCTTAAAGTCCTTTAGCACGAGTAGATTACATCGACTATAATTTACTATTTCGTTTTGGTGTAAATTTTATATTTAATTAGTATAAACTGATTGTTTATTGTTCTTTCTCTTTTGTTATGAAATGTGTATGTTTTATTTGATTTATTTTTGAAATTCTTCCAATTTATCTTTCATATAAATAATCTGTTAATTTGTTTGGCATATTTATTTTAAATTTGTATGTTTTCTTTGTTTTTTTGAAACTCTTACCATTTGCCTTTCATAGAAATAATATGTTGATTTTTTTATTAATCTTATTTTTATTTTACTATTTTTTATTTTGATTTTTGTATTTATTTGATCTTTTATATTTGGTCCCTTAGATGTAGATCGTGTGCTCATGGAAATCGAGTGTTTCCTGGGCCACAAACACTGGATTTTCATGATCGGTAGAATCGAGTGCTCAATAGACATCTGACACTCGGGTGTCAGAGTCCTTGTGCGGGGATGGTAGACAGACCCAATGGGCCCTTTTTCCCCCTTCCCGGCCAAACTAGGAACTAAAAATTTAGAAACGCTGAGTTTGTGGAGAATATCGAGAGAGGAAATACTATTTCACTTGATAAAATGTATAGAATATCCTCTAGTCCACGAATCCATCTTTTATCTTTTAATTTAATGTAGGAAAAAAGAAATTTCGTCTCTTATTTAGTTATTATTTTTGTACTATAACTATAATAACCAAAAGAAAAAGAAAAAAAAGGAAAAGCACACTCGCTCGCATGGTCCTTCTGGTCCAGCTCCCCAACGTCGCCGGCGTCCGGCGCCCGGCCGCCGCCACGGTCCACCGGAGCTGCCGCGCCGGTCGATTCACAGTATATGCTGCAGCGTCCGGTGGCCGCTTGAAGGAGGAGGAAGAGGCCAAGGGAGTGGGGAAGGATAAGATTGTGATTAGAGTCTCGGACCCGGTGCGGGAGAGGAGGCTCCCGCCGCCGCTATTCTCCGCACCAGACGAGCCGTCGGTGCCTCCACCGGAGCCGGAGGAGGGAAGGCGACAGGGTGTCGAGGACGGAGAGAAGGCTAAGGGGCAGTATTACGTGAACATGGGGGACGCCATCCGGACGCTGCGGGAGGACCTCCCCGTCGCGTTCTACCGGGAACCCAACTTCCACGTCTACAGGTTCGTGCGATTTTTTCTATTTCCTCAATCTTTTCGGTTACCTCAAGCTGCTTGCAGAGACAGTCGCTGTGAATTGTGGTGAATGGTGGATTACTCGATTCAGTTTTTGTTCTACTGGCTGCAAGAAATTTGTTTTCTTTAATACCATCTACTTCATCTAGACGAATTAGGGAAGAAATGGTGGGTAGTTTGTCGAGATGCTCCTAGGTCGAACTGATACAAGGGGTTTAAGAGTTTTGATATTTTCAGGCCTTTATAACCAGCCGTAAGATGAAAGTTACCTGTCCTTGCTATGTTGGCTGCTGGCAAATTTATGCTTGGTTCTAATCCTTGTTGAAGTTTGAAGAAAATAATGTCTACATGGTGATTTTTTGCTTTAATTAACTTAGTCGCAGTTTTCCTACTTCAGCTATCCACCAGTCTTTACCCAATTTGGTTCTAGACTAGAAAGTATCTTCAGCCTAGGTAACTTTTCCAATTCCAGTCCATTACCTGCATGGGTGAATGTAGAACATCAGCTCTTTGTTGAGTGATATTTGAATTCTGCTGTATTTAAATGTGGTAAGCATCTAACTAGTACACAATTTCTAACTTATTTCTTCCAGTAAGCAGGTTGTACACTTGCAATGGAATTGACTTTTTTTAATATAAAATTTGAGATATTTGACCATTTCTATTATTGTAACTTTGAAAGTTTCTTGTCTCTAATTCGTATATAGTCGATTCAAGATTCAAAATTGTAACCTGTCAGGTACAAATATGGAGCCATCGCATAATTAGACATTCTATTAAAAAAATGGGATCAGAGCAAAAATTTTTATCCTTGTGATGAATGGCTGGTCATTTCTGGATCTAGAAATTTTATTCGATTTCTTGTTGTAGGGAACTTGGGGAGGTTGCAAATCTTCTTTGAAATACTATGTGTTATCAGGAATTAATATATAGCCTTTCACTCCAAAGGGCCTCTAGTCCAGTTGGTCAGAGTACCCCGGCGGCACTCCTCAGGTCCTGGGTTCGACTTCCCGTGGGAGCGAATTTTAGGCTGAGGTTAAAAAAATCCTCTCGTCCGTCCCATATCCAAAGCACTGGGGGGCACGGCCCAATTCTCACTTGGGCGACGGAAAGCCACCGTGTAAGGGTGGGGCGGGGGTTCAGGGGTTTTCTCGGCCTGGTGAGAAGGTCTTCTTCTTATTTGGAATGCTGTGGGGGCAGTCTTAACCCCTACAGGTCGAGTTTTTTTTTTGAAAAAGAAAGTAACATGTTGACCTAAGAAGTAACACTTGATAGTTGATATAGGTTGGCATAAAATGATCTCATTTACTCAATAACTAAGTAACGCCTTGAGTATGCAAAGTATTATGGATGACATAAAAGCACAAAACACATTAAACCTTACTTGATGAATATGATATTTCAGCAATCAACACTGTTTTTTCTTTCTTAAAGGTAATCATAATTTAACTGAATAGGTACGTGGAAGATTCAAAAGGAATAACCAACATAACTTATGGAAGTACATGGATCCTAATTGGAAGGATATAAAGTTGAGGATGCTATTTTCCATCAACATTTTCAAATTTCTGGTCTGTGGAAAGTTGTTTGCTCGTTTATGTTGAAGTCACTGTTTATGCTTTAGGTTAAAATGTTTTTTCTGTGATGAGTTGTAATGATGTTTACTTATTGATAAGTAGGTTTATTGCCTGAATTTTATGAATTTTGAGTATTCACAGAAGCAAACAGATTTGTCACCTAACAATATGTGATGTTCAAGGTGATTCAAAGCCAACTTTTTTCTCGGGTCTGAACTCTGAAGCTTGAACCCATCAGGTTTGGTGGAGAGCTTTGTTGAAATCACTTTGGCATCACTCCTAATTATACCTAGGAATTTATGTTGCACATCCTCTCCATTCTTCCCGAAGGAAGTTTGGAAATGTAGGATTCTTTTAGTAGCTAAATTATTAGGGATTACTTAAGGGTGCATCGTGGCGGTTGCAGGAGCAACTGATTTCTTTAACTCTCATCTGTTAGATTGACTATGAATTTAAGCATTTTGTTTAGTTAGAATGGATCGTGTTTTTCTTGAACACGCAGACGCAGGAGAGCTCCATATCATTATATTAAGAAGAGAAAACAGGGTAGAGAAACCCTTACAGAACATACACCAACACCGCACCACACTGCACCACACTCACTTCCTTGGAGCGACTAGATCGCCCATGTTACACCACAAAACACTACCATGACCAGGAGGAAAAAACACCTGTCCCCTCATGAGACAAGGCAGCTAGGTAAGCAATGCTGTTCGCCTCTGGCAAACCTCATAATCTCATCTCCTCAATGGCCAGCAGTGTCATACTCTTAAGATTTGGCGAGGCTGCATAAAAAAACACAGTGATTATAATGATTCCAAGTGGTCTAGGCTCCAAGAATTATAATAGAATTGAGACATTGCCAGACCTGCCTGACTACCCCTTCGTTGATTCTAGACCACCAGTCATCGGAGGAAGAGTCTCCTGGATGAGGGGAGAGGTTCTGAAGCCCCATCCTTTGTAGAAGCTCAGCAATGGTGGAGCTTAGTGAGGACCAAAGTGGGCCAAGGAGCCCAAAACTAGTAAAGTTTCTAATGATGTTCTTATTTTTCCTTTCAAATCATATTTGGCGTCCTCTCTATTCATGGCCAAGCTCCATCACCGCAACTCAAACCAAAACTGCCAAGCGAAAACACATGCCACCAAAAGGTGATTAATTGTTTCACCTTCCTGATCACACAATGGTCAGCAAGGGCTGAGGGGATGCTCCAAACCCAGTCATCCAACATTTGTTATGGGCAACCAACCACATGAAGAAGCGACATTTACCCAGAGCCCAACTCTTCCAAATGCTTTTCAAAGGGCCAAAAGAAACTGATCCTTCGAAGAAACCAACATAAGTTGACCTTGCTGAATATTCCCTGGAAGTTGCAAGACGCCAAATTTGCCTGTCATCCACTCTGCCATGCTATATCACTTGAGCAAGGAGATCCCATAGATCATGGAATTCAGCAAGGACACCAACAAGGCCCCCTGCAAGTCAGTGATCCACATCAGATCAGTGAGAGCCTCTGTCGGGTTCATAAACCTGGGGTCCCTCATGGACCGGCTTCCCAACAAAGGCTCGGCCCAGCAGACAACATTGCGAACGACGCGCAACTCCGGGGCCGGCCCAAATACCTAAACGACAGGCCAGAAGGGCGATCCAATCTCTGACCGGAAGGCCTGGCCGAGGAGGAACGACGTCCGCTTCCGACTCCGGCCCGCCTCTCCGACCAGAAGGCCTCACTAAGGAGGAACAACGCTCGCTTCCGACCCCGTCACGAACGACGGACCCGGATTTCACTCGAACGTACCCGTTAGCGAGCTCACCGAGCGCGTCACTCGAGCCATCGAGGCAAGCGACGTTAGCTCAGCCCCTCCGGTTGTAAGCAACCGCAGACGGGGTAACGCACAAAACTCAACCGACCCCTACCAAGCCCAACGGGGCTCAGGGGCTCAAGACACCCAAACACCTCGGCTGCGCCTGGGTCCGCGACTCCGACTCGCCTGATCCCACGGCGCGTCCGACGCCTGGATCCGCGACTCCGACTTGCCCGATCCCCCGGCACACCCAACGCTTGGATCTGCGAGTCCGTCTCGTCCGATCCCTCGGCGCGCCCGATGCCTAGATCCGTGACTCCGACTCGCCCGATCCCCCGGCGCGCCCAACGCCTGGATCCGCGAGTCCGTCTCGTCCGATCCCTCGGCGTGCCCGACGCCTGGATCTGCGACTCCGACTCGCCCGATCCCCCGGCGCATCTAACGCCTGGATCCGCGAGTCCGTCTCGTCCGATCCCCCGGCGCGCCCGACGCCTGGATCCGCGACTTTAACTCGCTCGATCCCCCGGCGCGCCCGACGCTTGGATCCGTGAGTCCATCTCGTCCGATCCCTCGGCCCGACCAGCGCCTGGATCCGCGTCTCCGACTCGCCCGATCCCTCGTGGCGCCCGACGCCTGGATCCGCGACTCCGACTCGCCCGATCCCTCGTCGCGCCCGATGTCTGGATCCGCGACTCCGTCTCGCCCGATCCCTCGACTGTGACCAAACGGCTGGGACGACGCTCTTGGAAACGACGGGTCAGAAACCGAAAAAGAAGAAACTACGCCCACTACAGTGCACACACTCACGCCCGCTAACAAAACCCCCCAGGCGATTTCGCCCGAATCACCCGGGGGCGCGCGCACCCGCCGTCAAGACAAAAATCCCCCAGACGATTCTACCCTAATCGTCCGGGGGCTCGGGGGCTCCTGTTGGGTTTATAAACCCGAGGTCCCTCATGGACCGGCTTCCCAACAAAGGTTCGGCCCAGCAGACAACGTTGCGAACGACGCGCAATTCCGGGGCCGACCCTAATACCTAAATGATAGGCCAGAAGGGCGATCCAATCTCCGATCGGAAGGCCTGACCGAGGAGGAACGGCGCCCGCTTCCGACTCCGGCCCGCCTCTCCGACCGGAAGGCCACACTAAGAAGGAACAACGCTCGCTTTCGATTCCGGCCCGCCTCCGGACAGCCTCTCCGACTGGAAGGCCTAGCCAAACAACACTTCCGACTCCGACCCGCGTCTCCGACCAGGGATGCGCCGAACCCCTGCTTACAGCTCTTCTCCGACTGGCGCAATCAGAGCCGACTGAGACCAACCAACCGGGGACACCCGCTCGGTGAGGACCAGGAAATGGACGGAGAAAGTAAGGCAGGGCACACAAGTCAACCACAATATCGAGGACCGTACCCTGTACACCTGCAGGACAGTACCCTGCAACCTTCCTAACACGTCAGAACATAAGCAGTGTTGTGAGCGCCGACATTTTCCTTACAGTGTTGTGGGCACCATTAGCTCCCATGCCAGACAAACACAGTAAGGCTCCCCTCCACGTGCCTCTGGGCATCAACAGTGTTGTGGGCGCCGGCATTTACCATACCAGACGAACATGGTAAAACCCCCTATATACCTCTGGGCATCAACAGTATAGCAGGCACCGACGTCTGCCATACCAGAAGAAGACGACGC